GAGGCTGCGTCATGTCTGGCTCCCTGTTGATGAGAGCCACATTACAAAACGTGACGCAGACACGCAACACAAAAAGTAACGCGCGCAGTGAAAATTTTTTAAGCGCGCTTAATCCATTCGATTTTTGCGGTCAGAATCACGTGCGCATCTAAGATCGGTTCAGCATTCCAGGAAACCAATGTCACGCGGTCTTTTCGGGTTCCCGGCAGGATCGTCTTCACAAAAACGCGATTGTCGGCCAGCCACACAATGCGCTCTTGCCGGTAGTCGGCTGGGCTAAATCCGGTGCGCTCGGAATAAAATAATAAGTCCCCATCACGATAAGCCGGGACCATGCTCTCGCCTTTAACGCGCACAGCCACAATTCCCTGTTTGGCGCCGGGCGGGGCATCAACGTACTCAAGCCCCGTCTCCTGCGTAGTCGTGTTATCTAACAAGATCACCTCCGCTCCTGCCCCCACGTATCCCAATACAGGAACCGTGCCAGACTTAGGGCGCGAGGGGAATTTTCCGAACAAAATCCATTCTGGGGATACGTTGAACGCGCGGGCGTACTGCTGCGCTGTCGGCAACTTAAAGCCGCGCCGTCCGGTCTCATGTGATCGGTAGGTGACGATGTTCCAGCCGAACGCCTCCGCCGCCGAGGTCATGTCCTCATAACCGGCGCGCTCGCGGGCTTCTCGCAGTCTGTCAGCAACACTCTCCATGCCGAGCAACATATCGTTTTCCGCATCACAAAAGGTATTGCGCGAACGCGTCACAATTAGTAACGTGTCGCCATGACATACGCGCAAATCATCAACGAGTGGGAAACCTGCGCCGAGCTGGCCTCTGACTTGGGGGTAAGCGCGGGGTTGGTTCGGTCTTGGCGTCACCGCGACAAGATTCCGTCCGCTTATTGGCTCGACGTGGCGAGAGCTGCCGAGGCCAGAGGCTTTAAGGGTGTAACCTTGCCGGTGTTGGCGACTATCGCCGCGTCCGGTCGTGAGAGCGAGGACGCCTGATGCTCCAACTCTCTCGCTCTCACCACACAGTCGATCTCAAGCCGGTGCAGCCGGTTGGCGAGCTGTCGCAGCTCGGCGGCGCGTTTCAGGGCGTCAGTCTTGTTCATCACAGCCTCCATGCCCCGAGCATGTCTGAAGGCTTGTCCAGTTTCATCGAAAAACGCCGGGAGAACCTTACATGAACGTTCGTCAGGTCAACATCGCCTTTGGCAATCTGCTGGGCGAGTTTGATTCCAACCGGGTTGCACAAGCCCAACTGCTTGAGCGCGGCGTGAAGGTGCGCGAGGCGGACCTGTCCAACTGGTCTAATGCGCATCACAGCACCAGCGCGCCAATTCACGTTGTGAGCGCACTTGAGCGCATTTCCGGCAAGCCCATCGTGACCCGCGCCTGCATCGCTGAGGTCATGGGCGTCAGTGAAGATCAAATCTCTCTCGCCGTGCTGTCCTCTCAAGCCGTCCAATATGCCGCCAAGGCTGGCGCGAAAGTCATTGCCGCCGACGCTGACGGCATTGTGACGCCGGGCGAAGAGGTGGACTGCGCCCCCGATCTGGATCGCGCCATCAGCGCCTTTCAAGAGCTGCGCCGGACCATGAGCCTGAAGGCGCAGAAAGCGCAGGGGGCGGCGTGATGTTGGAACTCAACCTGCAATCCGACAACGCGCTCTGCCACAAGCTCGGCGCAACCAGCCGTAACCCGATGCGCCAGCGCAAGCAAAAGCGCGTCCGCCTGATCGGGCAGTTCAAGCACAAAGAGTTGGAATGGCTGGAGGACAATCTCGGACTACACCAGAGCACCATCATGGCGCACTGCGTGGATTTTGGCCTGTCTGTCGCAGACTTCGACGGAACGCACCCGGAAGCCATGAAGCAGATCAAGGCTCGCCAGAAGGTGGAGCGCGATCAGCGGAAGGCGACCAAGAAGTGAACCATCTCCAAACCCTTCAGCGCCGCGTCTACACCGCCCCGCATGGCAAGAAGCGCCAGCGCGAGCAAGAGCTGCGCGAGGCCATCCATGCCGCCCTGGTCCGTGAGTTCGACGCCAACGTGAACCACGCCGCGCGTCTGAGTGTGGAGGGGCGGGTATGAAGCGCCAGCCCCGCAATTTCGGCCTGTCCTTTGAGGATGAAGCCCGCGTCATAACGTTGGCGTCTAAAGGCAAGGCCCTTGTTCCCATTGTCGCAGAAACCGGCCTGCATATCGATAGCGTTCGCGCCTGTCTTGAGCATTGGGATTTGCAGAACAAGCAGGAGGCACAGCATGGCTTTTAAATCACAGAGATCAGCGCGCGCCAAGGGTAACCGCTTTGAGGGCGTCATCGCCAAAGACCTTGCCAAGGCCACAGGCGTTGAGGATACGCGCCGCCAGCCCGGCTCTGGCGCTATCGAGGGCTTTTCTGGCGACGTGATCCACGACCCGCGCGGCTGGGGCCTGAAGATCGAATGCAAGCACCACAAGTCCATTAGCGGGTATGACCGCCTTGAGCGCGCCCGTCTGGTTGCTGATGGCGTGGTGGTGGATACGCCCGCTGGCGTCTTCTACTGGCTGACGGATGCGTTCTTTCTGGATCTCATGGCCCGCGCTTATGGCCAAGGCGGCAAGGGCGAGCTTTGCCCCGATCTGGTCACCCTGAAGACCGGCACGCCGTTCAAGAATTTCAACGGCTGGCTGAAGGACTGCAGCGCGCTTGTGGTCAAGCCCAATCACCAATCCCCCCGCTGGTATCTGCCCGCCAATGTGTTTTGGGCGGCGTTCACCTATGCGGCGCGGGCTGAATTTGAGGAGCCGACGCAATGAGTGCGAACGACTTCAAGCCCCATGAGGACAAAATCATACTCCAGCGCGTCAATGAAGGCGTGCGCTATGTTGATATTGCCCAAGAGCTGGGTCGCAACCCTATCGCGGTCTCCAAGCGCTACGGGCGCCTCACTGATGGCAGCGCCGATAAGGTGAAAAGCACGACCGGCCGCATCAAACGTTGGCTGGGAGGGCGCAATCCGTACTCGGTTACGCACCACGAAGCCGCAGAAGCTCTCGGCCTGACGACAGGGCAGGCTAAAGGCGGGCTGTTTCGCATTCGTGCGGCCTACACGAATGAAGAGCCGGTAAGGCCGACATTCAACGCAGCGTATATGCCTGAAGCTATCAAGCGCGCCAAGGCCCGCGCCGACGCCATGATCAAGGCTGGCACCGCGCCGAGCGCCGCCGTGCAGCAGGTCTACCGAGAAACCGACATTCTCCTGAATGTGGATGACCTTGCCATGCGTCCGGCTGGTGAAGCGGCCTCGCGCCTCCTTGACCGCATGGAGGTGTACAAGTGCACAGCCTAGAATCCGAAGCCGCCGTATTGGGCGCGCTCATGTGGGGCGAGGGGGCGTTTGAGCATTGCGCACGCCTCTTGCCTGAGCATTTCCATGACCCGGTGCACCAAGCCCTCTATGTGGAGCTGAAGCGCCGCAATGACGCCAGCCGCCCGGTTGACGCAGCAAGCCTGCGTGACTGGTGGAAGTCTGACGAGGCGCGCACGGCGCTGGATGGCGATACGCCTTATCTCGCTGACCTGATGCGGGACGCGCCAGAGAATGACAGCGTGCAGGCTTATGCGGATCAAGTACGCGAATACGCCGAGCGCCGCCGTCTGGTGGAGATTGGCCGGGCGCTGACGGCACAGGCTGAGAACACCGAGCTTGCGCCGCGTGACGCGCTTGAAGCCTCTGAGCGCGATCTGGCGAGCCTTGCCGAGACGGGCTCGACCGGGCGCAAGGTGGTGTCCTTGTCCATGGCGCTACGCGATGCGCTCAACAGCCCCACAAAAGGCGCTCCGACCGGCTGGGCGGATCTGGACCGCAGTTTTAACGGTTGGATTCCTGAAGAGCTGGTTATCGCCGCTGGACGCCCCGGCATGGGCAAGTCTTTGTTCGGCGCGGGTTGCGTTCTGAACCAAGCCAAGCGTGGCGTGCCGAGCGTTTTCATTTCGCTTGAGATGGGCGCGGGGCAAGCGGCGGTGCGTTTTGCTTCCATGCTGTGCGGTGTTCCGTATCGCACCATCAAGCGCCGCGAGATGACGCCCGAGCAGGCGCACGCCTTGCGCTCCGTCATGGACCGGGTTGACGAGCTGCCCATCACCATCATCGACATGCCGGGCGCGAAAGTTCCCGCCATTCGTAACGCGCTGCGCCGCCTTGACCGTGACATGCAGCGCCGCCTTGGCCGTGGTCTGGGCTTTGTCTGCCTTGATTACCTTGGGTATCTGGAAGCGCCCTCGCCGGGCATGTCCAAGAATGACGAGGTCGCGGCGAACTCCAAGGCGCTGAAGATGACGGCGCGAGAGCTGAAGCTGCCGATGTTGGTCTTGTGCCAGCTTAATCGGGGTGTCGAGCAGCGCACTGACAAGCACCCGATGATGAGCGATCTGCGCGACTCTGGCGCTATCGAGCAGGACGCAGACGCCATCTTCGGCCTGTACCGGGACGCTTACTACGCCGAGCGCGAGGAGCCGGATTGCCACCCGTCTGAGCCTGAGTACCTAGACTGGCAAAAGCGCGTCGTCAGCAAAACGCTTGATGTGGACATTTTGAAGAACCGCGACGGCGAGACCGCGCGCGTTGTCCTTTATTGCGACCCGGCAACCGGCCAGATCGAGAACTACGAGGAGAGCGCGGCATGAGCCTGAGTGCGGAAACTATGCGCAAGCTCGTCAAGCTAGGCTTGCCTAAAGAGAACCTTCTTGAAGCGATTGAAGCCATTGAGGCCGATGCGTTGGCGGCTAAACCTGTGCGCAGCGCCGGCGCAGAGCGCACTGCTAGGTATCGCGCCAGAGGTGGCGGTAAAGTGCCGGCCCTAGTGCGCGAGCAGGTCATGCAGCGCGACGCTCACACCTGCCAAGACTGCGGATCACAAGAGCACTTGCAGATTGACCACATCACGCCTGTGTCCAAAGGCGGAGATGATGACCCAGATAATCTTCAGGTGCTTTGTCGGGTCTGCAATGCGCGCAAAAGGGACCGCGTAAGAAAACAAGATCAGCGGAAACGTCCGCGGAAATCCAAGGAAATGTCCGCGGAAATCCAAGGAAAAGAAAC